TAATAAAGCTTAAACACTAATATTCCATGGAATATTAGTGTTTAAAACAAATATATATATATATATATATATATATATATATATATATATATATACATACATGCACATATAGATATGGACAGCTTGAGATAGATAGATAGATAGATAGATAGATAGATAGATAGATATGAATAGCATGAGATAGGTAATTCCACTTCTGGCTTGTGGATTTCTTTTCCAGCTTTTTGCTTCCCAATCTAATTTGATCTCAAAAAATTTAAATAAATTGTCATTCGTTATCTTTTGTCTTCTTAATTCCTTTTATATTTTTCTCTCCTTAATAATTGCTTCTTCTTCGTTTTTTCATATTTCGCGCTCACCAAGACCTTGAGTCTTTGTGACTTTATTGCCTTGCTTGAGGTGAAATGATTAGAAAATAATTCGTGATAGTGATGCTGATGTTGGTGACAGTTCATGGTCAAATGTTCGTCGCTAGATCAAGTGATGCGAAGAAGGAAGTAATTTATGCAGGAATGTGCGTTGAGATCTCCTCTGAAAAGAATGAAGACTTAGAAGATTTTCCTTTTCATGTCGTATCATTTTTTTTTTTCATTTTCATCCCGTGGCTTTACTTCTTCTCAAGTGGACGTCTTTATAATCTCAGATATGCCGGAACTGTTTCTTTTTCTCAATCAGTCACTCTCTCGATATAACTATCTATCTGCCCAACAAAATATTGGTCAGTTTACTGTTTTCTTTTTTTAATATTTATTTATTGCTTTCCGGGAAGATTCCTACTGATGCCTATAAATAGCCGTGGCAATCCCTAAATTTGATTAAACATAGATAATAAATAAAAAAAAATGGAAGACAAGAAAGAAAAGATGATTCATTTGAAAGAGAGGCGATGCCAAATTGTCGGAGTGTCCACCTGTCTTTCGTTTAAACCTTCCCGTATCCAGAGAACGACTCCCAGAATTCATTCAGCCTTGTCGTTTGGTTATCGTGTTTTTTTTAGCCACTTGTCGTCTGTTCTGTTTCATATTTCACTATTTTTTTTTCATTTATTTGTCAGCGTCATTTACATGTTGCATATATAAACTGATTTCCTTCTCTTTTCTCCTCTCTTCATCATTTTTGTCTTCCTTATTCTTTCTTATGTCAACAAGCCGAAAAAAAAAAGAACACGGCAAATAAAGAAAGAAAGAAAGAAAAAATGGCAGTAAAATCCAATACGTTAACTGTATCGAGAAAGAAAGCAATTTCTTGGGATTTTCTTTCATCTATTTTCGCTTTTTGTTGTTATTAGCCAAAATATCTTTTATTAAGTCATAACGAGTGAAAAAGAGCCGGTTTCAATGTTGATATCAATGTACGTCCACACGGGTGCGTATGTCTCGCTGTGTGTCTTCAGCTGTGCGCTGAATTCATACGCAATACTTCATAAACATGTGTTTGTCGAAAAATATATTTTTCTCATATATATGTCTATGTATATATCCGTGTGTATGCGTATTTGTGCGTATGTATGTATGTATGCATGCATGTATGGATGTATGTATGTATGTATCTATCTATCTATCTATCTATCTATCTATCTATCTATCTATGCATCTATCTATCTATCTATCTATCTATCTATCTATGTATCTATTTATTATTTTCTAAATATATTTATCTTTTATATATATATATATATATATATATATATATATATATATATATATATATATATATCGATCTATCTATTTAGCGATCTATTGATATTCATCATTCTATCTATCTATCTATCTATCTATCTATCTATCTATCTATCTATCTGTGTGTACCTAACTATTAATCTTTCTCTTAATGTATATATATATATATATATATATATATATATATATATATATATATATATATATCATTATCTATCTATCTATCTATGTGTACCTAACTATTTATTTTCTCTTAATGTATATATATATCGATCTGTCTATTTAGCGATCTATTAATGTCTATCTATCTATCTATCTATCTATCTATCTATCTATCTATCTATCTATCTATCTCTTAATTTGTATCTATCTATCTAACTATCTATCTATCTATCTATCTAACTCAAACTATACATAGCTCTCATTCCTGTCTTAGTTTATATAATAATGATATGTACTTAATCCATAATTCTCATTATATCTCTCTTTATAAAGAGAGTGAGAGAGAGAGAGAGAGAGAGGAGAGAGAGAGAGAGAGAGGCGGGCACACACACACACACACACAAAACACTTGCATACACACACATGGACGATTACACACACACACACATATTTTATATACGCGCGTGTGTCTGTCGGCATACCACAACTCGTTATTAAACTGTGCAACAAGTGTTTATCTCTCGTAAAACCATTCGATATAAGCAAATCTATCTATCTATCTATCTATCTATCTATCTATCTGATAAAATATTGTTTGAATGTATATTATATTTATGGGTTAAAGTGCTCAATATCAGGGATAGAGCGTATGCATATATATATATATATATATATATATATATATATATATATATATATATATATATATATATATATATATATATATATATATATATATATATATATATTAAAGAAAAACAGACCACTTTAAGGTACCATTATAATAATTTATTTCACCAGAGTCCTTTTAAAGGACACTGGATCATCAGATAGCACCTCCAAAATGAAACTCTAATTAACATAAGCATACATATATATATATATATATATATATATATATATATATATATATATATATATATATATATATATATATACGCTTATGTTAATTAGTTCTACGATATGTAAACATTTGTGTAATGTGTCTGTGTGTTTGTATGTAGATATATATCTTATAGCTTAAAAATTATATTTAATGGATACACATATTTGAATAGACACCCCTTTGAAACAATGTAAATTTATATCTACTGACCAATGATTGCGAGATTTACGCCTCTTAAATTTCAAGGATGTCTACGTGCATTCCACCAAGAATAGCGTTCGAAGTAATAAGAAATAATATTGTATTATAAAGAAAATTAACAGAAATTCCTCATATATATATATATATATATATATATATATATATATATATTTATACAGGGTGACCCACAAAAACGGGAATTTTTGAAGTGCGTATTGCTAGACATGAGCAAGTGGCAACACTGCGAGACAGTGACCTTGAGCAAGTAAACATTTCGCCATTTAGAATTCAAGATGAAATTCACAGTATCCCAGCTGAGACGTTCAAGCAGTCAATGAGGAATCTCAACAGCAGATTTCAAGAATGCATTCGTACAGGAGGACGCCATCTACAGAACGTAATTTTTAAAAAATGAAAATTCCATCATTGTTTCTTAAATGGCATATTTTAAGGTTTCGATTACTATGAATAAAGTATTTTTATTCCATCACTCTTGGTGTTATTGGATTGTTAAAAAGTTCCCATTTTTGGGTCACCCTGTATATATATATATATATATATATATATATATACATTCATGTGTTTTTCACATTTCGCCCTCTTAAATTCTGTCCTTTCGCTATCTCTTTCCATCTCTCTCTCTCTCTCTATCTACCTACATATATATATATATATATATATATATATATATATATATATATATATATATATATATAGTAAAGTAAGAATTGACCTTTTCACTACCTGAGGAAATCTTCTTTGGTAGAGAAAGCATTACCGGAAAAGTTTAGTGTTTCTACTTGTAATATTTCATGTATTAATAAGCTCAACACTTTAATTTTTTTGGAACTGCGTATTGAGCATTTTTCAAAAATATAACCGTTTCCTGGACAAGATAATCCTTGCCTTTAAAAACAGTTTTGTATATATATATATATAAACCTAGTGAGCCAGACAAACCTACCTAGGTTTCACCTAAGCGGATCGTCAGGGAAAGCTTTTTTTTTATCTATCCGTTTAGGTGAAATCTGTGTAGGTTTATCTGGCTCACTAGGTTTATCTAGGTCTGCTCTACGGTTGTATTGAGCTCTTTTGTTAGTTAGTTGTTTACTCGTGTCGGTTTTTTTTTCTTTGTGCTTCAAAACTGCATCTGTGCGATTTTTTCGGCAGACTTTCATGTTTCTCGCTCTTTCTTTTTTTAAAACTTTTTTTTCCCTCGAGATTGATTTGATTTTTGGCAAATAAAAAATTGAAGGTTTTTCGAAACGAGTATAGTTACCTATATTTGTATATATATTTTATATATATATATATATATATATATATATATATATATATATATATATATATATATACCATCAAACACCACCATACATAACCATAAATAGGTTCATAATTTTATCAGTTTGTCTAACGATCACGAGGGCGTGAATCTCACTGTCACAAAATCATATCAGTCCAACTATATATATATATATATATATATATATATGTGTGTGTGTGTGTGTGTATATATGTGTTTGTGTGTGTGTATGATGATTGATTCAGAAAAGAAAATCTATCTATATGTATCTATATATGTATATAAGAAAAATTGTCTCTCTCTATATATATATATATCTTTATGTGTTTGTGTGTTTACTGATTCAGAAAAGAAAATCTTTCAATCTATCTATCTATCTATCTATCTATCTATCTATCTATCTATCTATCTCTCTCTCTCTCTCTCTATATATATATATATATATATAAGAAAAATCTATCTATTCTATCTATCTATGTATAGATAAATATAAATATAAATATATATATATATATCTTTATGTGTGTGCGTGTGTGTGTGTTTATTGATTGAGAAAAGAAAATCTAGGCATGTACTCGATATGAATTTTTCTGTGCTCATAGCATGTGCCCGTGATTGTGGTCGTGGAATCAATTCCCGCATGCAGAGAATTTTGCCTGATTTTCCTGTTAATATTTGTTCTTGTATGCGTCTATAAGTGTGTCTTTTCTGTAGTTGCGTGCAATTGCGTGAGTGTACGTGCGTGCGTGTGAATGGGTAAGTCAGTGCATCAATATTGACGCACATGCGTTGCAGTCCACATTCCAGTGCACCCAATGGCAAAACGTCCGTCACTTAAAGGATTCATAACTTCCGTTTGCTCATCTTTAATAAATGGGGATTGAACCTTGAGAGATATTAAGTCGAGGCAATATTTCCTTCCATGTATCAAGTCATAGCGTAGGAGAATTTCGTCAGATAGATAGATAGATTGGTATAGATAAGAGCAGGCTGAGATAGATAGATAGATAGATAGATAGATAGATAGATAGATAGATAGATAGATAGAAACAGACTGGTAGATATATATATAGATAGATAAAAACAGATTTAGACGGATAAATACAAAGATTGATAGACTGAGAGAGATAAATACATAGACAGAAACATGATGAGTCTAAGATATATACGTATTCTGTGCACCACGATGTGGTGTAATGGTTAGGAAGCTTGTCTTGATAGAACAATTACGACTGAGTAGCGAGTTCGATTCTTAGTGCGGCCACCTAGTTTCGGTCTTTTGCCACATCTCAGCTACGCTAGGAAAATCACTATATATATATATGTGTGTGTGTGTGCGAAAATATATAGGAAAGAACCGTTGGGTTAATAATCCGAAGTTCTTTAGTATTTCTGTTTTTAGTTAAAAAAAAACAAAAAACAGTGCTCAATACACAAGTACATCCTATATTATAAATATTTTTTAAATAAATAAGATTCCTTCTCATGTTTCAAAAACAGAAGCTAAAAACTTAAATTTAATTATAGAAATTAAATTAAATTAAAGTACCTAGTTCTGTTTCATCTTCGAGTGAATTTTGGAATTACTAATCTTGAAATGTACGGAGCTTTATTATCATTTTTGAAACATGGTTAGAACTGTGTAGCGGAAAAAAACATATTTCAAATCAATTAATTTATAATATATATATATATATATATATATATATATATATATATATATATATATATATAAAAAGAGAGAGATAGAGATAGATAGATATGAACAGAATGAGACATAATTACACAGAGAGACAGATAGGCTGAGATAGATACATAGAGAGATAGATTGGTAGAAACGAGAAGATAAAAAGAGACCAATATATATATATATATATATATATATATATATATATATAGATAGAGATAGATAGATAGATAGATAGATATACAGATGACATGAACAGGGTTAGAAAGATAAATACATAGATAGAAACATGAAGAGTCTAAGATAGATAGATAGATAGATAGATAGATATGAACAGAGTGAGACAGATAGATACATAGAGAGACAAACTGAGACAGATTAATAGAGATAAGTAGAAACAAGAAGATATGAAGAGACTAAGATAGATAGATATAGACAGATTGAGATAAATATAAATAAAATTAGATATAATTGGAATGAAATTGATAAATAAATGGTTATATATATATATATATATATATATATATATATATATATATATATATGAACATGAAAACACGATGGACATAAGAGTAAGATTAATCAAAACAGACAACTTCATGTTGAATTAAATATAGTCTAATGTTAATTATGTTTTATGAATATGTCCTGAAGATGGTATACTAGACCGAAACGTCCGACGTTGACATTATATTAACATTAAAACAGCATAATTGCATATTAGTTTTTTTTTGTTTGTTTTTTTCCGTATATGTTTCTTCATACTGTCGGATCTATATCCATATATTTGCTTACATAGGTTTTGACAAGAAGTAATATATATATATATATATATATATATATATATATATATATATATATATATATGTGTGTGTGTGTGTGTGTGTGTGTGTGTGCATGTTTCGTTAATGACGACAGAGAAGCTCCTGCGATTAAACTTTTATTTAATTTTACTTGTGTTCGAAAAAGTGTTTTCTATTTGGGACACAGAGTGTGTAGAAACTGTCCAAACCTTCTATAATTCCGAGCCCGTCCGGCTATATTTTAAGCCATTATCAAAAATGATTTTATTTTTCAATTTACTTGGGTATGTGCATTGTGTGTAAATCGGGTGTGTGGGTTGTGTATATATTTTTAGTGTTATAGAGGTGTTTCATTTTCCGAACACAGCCAGCACATTGTGGCCGTGTTCGTAGTTAATATTATTAAGTGTTGGCTTTTTCTTTTCAAGGCTTTCCTCATTTTTAATAATTTTTACATGCGGATGAGGTTATTATGTTTGTATTTTCTACTAGTATGTTTCGGATGGAGTCTAGTAAGTTTGCGCGTGTGTTTAAATGGGTTCTAATAGAGCTGTGGCCAGATAGGTGTAACGTAAGGTGTCTGGATAAGCATGTAGTAGTGTGACCGATGTTTGGGTGTGTATTTAAATGGGTTCTAATAGAGCTGTGGTCAGATAGGTGTAACGTAAGGTGTCTGGATAAGCATGTAGTAGTGTGACTGATGTTTGGGTGTGTATTTAAAAGGGTTCTAATAGCGCTGTGACCGGATAGGTGTTACGTAAGGCGTCTGGATGTGTGACCGATGCAATTATTTATGAATTCGGTTTCGCAGTTACTTAAGCGGCATTTTATTCAATTTTTCTTGTATTCGTATAAGTATTTTCTTTTCTGGACACAAAGAGTGTAAAAATTGTACAACTGTTCTGTATATCCGAGTCATTTTTAGTCATTATTGAGGATGTTTAAATATAGATTTCTAGATAGATACATATGAACAAAATGATATATATATATATATATATATACATACATGGCGAGACAGATGTATAAATAGCGATAGATAGATAGATAGATAGATAGATAGATAGATATGAATAGATATGAATATAGTGAAAGATAGATAGATAGATAGATAGATAGATAGATAGATATGAATAGAGTGATAGATAGATTGATAGATAGATAGATAGATAGATATGAATAGAGTGATAGATAGATAGATAGATAGATATGAATAGAGTGAAAGATAGATAGATAGATAGATAGATAGATAGATAGATAGATATGAATAGAGTGATAGATAGATAGATAGATAGATAGATAGATATGAATAGAGTGAAAGATAGATAGATAGATAGATAGATAGATATGAATAGAGTGAAAGATAGATAGATAGATAGATAGATAGATATGAATAGAGTGATAGATAGATAGATAGATATGAATAGAGTGAAAGATAGATAGATAGATAGATAGATAGATAGATATGAATAGAGTGATAGATAGATAGATAGATAGATAGATATGAATAGAGTGATAGATAGATAGATAGATAGATAGATAGATAGATAGATATGAATAGAGTGATAGATAGATAGATAGATAGATAGATAGATAGATAGATAGATATGAATAGAGTGATAGATAGATTGATAGATAGATAGATAGATAGATAGATCACTGGAAGAAGCCGGTGTGTATGATTCTATTTTAGAATAGTACCTTTCAGCTCATCTATTTTTTTCTTCTATATTTTTCTTGTCTTTGGAAATATTTCAGAGAATTTTGACTTTATGGCATCGTGTCCTCAACCAAAAAAAAAAAAAAAAATGCTCGAATGTTCTTTCATCCTTCCCTACCCTTAAAGATCTCCACCTACCCCACGGAATCTACACACCCATTCCACTATTTCTGTTCTTTGCCAAAAGTTAAAAAAAAACTATTGAGGACCTTCGGTTCACCCACTGTGGTGTATATTTGAATATATCTCAGCTGTGTCAGTGATCGGGGTTTTAGAGCAGGTACTGGCTTTCAAGGTTGGTAGTCACGCTCCATAGAGCTGGTCTCGTTCGACATAACCTTAATATTTTTTTTATCTTGAATTTTGTGGCTGATATAGTTGAATGTTTCACACAAGCGACAGTGGTTGGTATTTTCAATGAGATAAGCAAAACAAAATCTCTAATAATAATTTTTAACGTAGGCAGGCTTAGTTAGAAAATTGGCGGAAAACAGTCTTCCTGTTTCTAGTTTGTTTTGATTAGCCTTGTGCTAACTGTCGGTGTTTCGTCGTCGCTGGCTGAACTCCTTGTCGAGTTTTGGGGGGCTCATCGACACTTGTGTGAGATGAATTCTACGTTGGATCTGAAGAGATATCCGAAGCTACCGCATGGTAGGGTAAGAGGTTATGGGGGAGCTCTGGATTTTCTTTGGTCTCTCTTCGTCTCTTCTATTTGACTTCTGATGTTTTCGAAGGACGCTGTTTCTTCTTGGACAGCTCTTCTCCTATTGGTTCCTTCTTTTGTCGGTGTTTAAATCCTTAAAAAATAGTAGTTTCCCAAAGAGTTCTTCAGTTGGAATATTGGTACCATTTCCAAAATAATGCGTTAGGTTCGATTATTGTAATGACTTAATTATCTTTTTTTAATGATTTCACTCCAAGAAAGGCGATGAAGCCACTGAAAGTCAAAGAAACTGAAAAACATTATGGAGAATGGAGAGCACAGAGATTCGATGAGATATAAAATGACATTTGACGTTGCATTTAAATATTTGAAAATTGCGGTTGACAGGAAAGCAAGAAGCTGAAGGTAATTCCATAGGCGAAAAATTCGAAAGAAGAAACTGTTAGCATAGAACTTACGTTTACATCTAGCAATTACAAAAGTAAAAAAAAAATGAGACCTAGCTGCCAATCTAGCACTGCGCTCAAATTTATGAAGTTGACTTACCAAAGAGAAGGGTGCATCAGGGAATTTACGTAACAACAGTAGAAAAGGGCATTAATTGCATTATTCGGACTATCGTCCTCATCTTTGTCGCCATATTTATTACAACGTTACGGCCGTGGTACGCCCCGTCCTTCGTCAGGTGGCTAGAATGTCGAAGGACGAAACATTGTAATAAATATGGCGACAAAGATGAGGACAATAGTCCGAATACCTCATCTCAGAAATATAGACAGATACTGAAAGGCCGAAACGTTGTAATAAATATGGCGACAAAGATGAGGACAATAGTCCAAATAATGTAAATAGTGTACATAATACCTCATCTCAGAAATATAGACAGATACTGAAAGGCCGAAACGTTGTAATAAATATGGCGACAAAGATGAGGACAATAGTCCGAATAATGTAAATAGTGTACATAATACCTCATCTCAGAAATATAGACAGATACTGAAAGGCCGGAACGTTGTAATAAATATGGCGACAAAGATGAGGACAATAGTCCGAATAATGTAAATAGTGTACATAACACCTCATCTCAGAAATATAGACAGATACTGAAGGGCCGGAACGCTGGAATAAATATGGCAATAAAAATGAGGACAATAGTCCGAATAATGTAAATAGTGTACATTATACCTCATCTCAGAAATATAGACAGATACTGAAGGGCCGAAACGTTGGAATAAATATGGCAATAAAAATGAGGACAATAGTCCGAATAATGTAAATAGTGTACATAATACCTCATCTCAGAAATATAGACAGATACTGAAAGGCCGAAACGTTGTGATAAATATGGCGACAAAGATGAGGACAATAGTCCGAATAATGTAAATAGTGTACATAATACCTCATCTCAGAAATATAGACAGATACTGAAGGGCCGAAACTTTGTGATAAATATGGCAATAAAAATGAGGACAAGGGTCCGAATAATGTAAATAGTGTACATAATACCTCATTTCAGAAATATAGTCAGATACAGTAGAAAAGGGATTGAGGCCGTGATGCCAGACAGATAATATTGCAAGTTCTTCTTGAGATTTTTGTCAAGAATCTATAGATGCATACCAGATGAACCAGATCAGATTTTTTTCACAGTAAGATTCACCCTGTACACGGCTCTAGAGCCACTCCAGGTAGAGGGCTACGTTAAGGAGTATTTTATACAGATATGAGGGGATGATAACTATAGTCTTGAACAGGTTAAGATTGTAGTGATTGGGGGGGGGGAAACATCCTCTTGGCGGTTTGTTTCATAGGGCAGTAGTTTGCGGGAAGAAGTTGTTTGAGTGGCACTTACTCCTCGCCGTTGGAATACGGAGGAATGTGAGTGGTTTGCTACTATGGGAGTGTCATGGCGGGTCCTAGCCGTGAAGATCTGACCTGGTGGAATCAGAAGATGCAATTCGGCAAAGCACTTTCCGAGATAGTAACGATAGAACAGTGAGAGACTCGCCATACCCCGCTTGTGAAAGAGAGGGGTTGGAGGGTGGAAAATAATACTTCTCAAACAAGGGCTCCACGACGCTTTTGTTTGAACTCTATCAAGACTTGTAAGTAAGGACTGTGAAGCTCCTGCCCAAATATGGCATCAGTACCCTATTTCCAGCCAGGTCAGGCTCTTTCGCAAAGGTAGAGGATAGCATGAGGGGTCAGGTACTTACAGGGAGCCGATCATTTTACCTGCGTCTTTATCGATAGATCGTATATAAGAGTTCCACTTGAAGTCGGGTGTGAGTTTGAGGCCCAGTATTTTCTCAAGAGACGGTGCATCATCGAGGGGACATTTCGGTGTCTGGCAAAAATATTTAATGAACAGACGAATGGTAGATTTATAAATTTTCAAGACAGATTTGGGTGAAGAAATACAGTCCATTATACCTTTTCCCTCAAAATTGTTTTTTTTTTTTAAAGCATTTCGCCCCAAGCAAGGCAGGAGTACCACTAGCATGCAAAGGGTTACAAAGAATGAGAGTAAGAATAAAGAGAAGTGTTTGGGAAAAGGATAAAGAGAAGGACAGGGATGAAGGTCAAGGCATCAGAAGATGTCGATTGACATTACATTTGAATATTTGAAGATGATAGCTATCAGGGAAGCAACTGATAAGAAAGGAGTTCCACTGACGAGAGGTGCGAGATAAGAAGCTATTGGAGTAGAAGAGATGGATACATTTAGTCACGTATCACCTAAACACCGTACGATTCCCGTATCCAAATATTTTCAAACGACGCGCCTATGGACGAATTTTCTGAGAAGAATATTTTTAACTGACTTGTTTTTTTTTTCTTTTCTTTCTCTAAAAATAAAGTTAATAGAAAAACTGTAACAAACCACTTATTTCATTCTAATTTCGGTTTCCTCCATCCGGAGATACACCTGACTTTTTTTTCTGGATTACATGATATAAAACAGAAAATTATATACTCTCGACTAAAAATATCGTCAAAGTTACCTTTTTTAAAACTCGGCTCCTTCCATTTTCCTGAAAAACAAAAAAAAAAAAACTCATCCCAATAAAACAAACAGAAAGACACGTCGATAGCATAATTTGGCATCAGATTTCGCCAAGATAATTACATATCCTGAATACATTTTTTTAAAACCAACTAGAAATTAATAGCGAGTTGGAATTTAGCAATATCTATTCCTTATTCTAAAACCCAACTTTCCTAGTTTAATGAACAACATTGCACTTTTCTTTTTGCATACTTCATTAAATCTTAGAACTATGCTTTAATCAACATTGTTTAATTAACATTTCCACAGTTAATTGTTTAATTAATATTGTTTAATTAATATTCCACTCGGTGATTAAGTACCTTGATGCGGTGGAGTGGCTTGCGTGCTTCTATGACCCGGAGAGGTATGCTGGTGAGGTTCCATTTTCAGGCAGGGCTAACCTAACCAGATAAGGTCAATGGATAGAAATCAAACAGAAAGCTTAGTCACCCAAAGAAAAAAAAACTCTATGACGAATTAACCTCGACCTAATGGTGGATGATAAACGACACTGTCAATTACATCGACATGGATCAGCCAAATTCTAGTCAGTACGGCGCTTGCTATTTGGAGTCGGGACCACTATTATTGAATTGAAGGATTATAAACTTGAAGAAACCAGACAAACAGCATTTCTTCTTCTATGGGTTGATTCCCTTTTGGATTTTGTGGAAGGAGATCGCAGTTCCAACAGATACACAGCGTTATCTTCTTCGTATACAGGCCGTTTCCAGAAGGCATTTTCCGCTTCACATTGTTATAAAGAATCCACTTTTCATCGCCTGTTAACGTCTTTCTTAAAATTTAAATAATGGTCGTATTTTCCGCGTTTAAGAATAAAATTGCAGATGGAAATAAAGTCCATTACACCTTTTCCTGCAAAATCACGTGTCACGTAACCACCGTTCAGATTCACGTATCCAAATGTTTTCAAATGCCCTTACGACGCGCATTTGGAGTTATGGCACGTATCGTGTGAACTGTATTATATTTATTCAGTTTTTTTTTATTTGTTGGGACGTCCTCGGTCTTTCAGACTAAAATTTCCACTTCTGAGCCTCGCCAAACATTTACGAAACTTTCAGCTATGACACCATCCTCATAAACAGCGCATAAATTTTTTGTTGCTTGTAGAACTTCTTTTTTTTTTAATTTCCGTAAGCAAAAGAGCCTGAAATGACAAGAATGCATTTAATTTTCTCCCATTTTCAATGTTGACGTAAAAACACCCGAAAGCCATAATCCACGCAAGAATCGTATGGAAAGACACTTTGAAATATCAGAATTTGGTTTGTATTCTTTGACGGCATATCAACTTCAATGCTTTATGTAACACCGACGTGATTCTTATTGCTGGTAATATATTTTTCCAAAAACGTATTGCTGGTAATATTTTTTCTTCAAAAATACATTGCTGGTAATATTTTTACAAAAATTTATTGCTGTATATGTCTATATTTCTGAGATGAGGTATTATGTACACTATTTACATTATTCGGACTATTGTCCTCATCTTTGTTGCCATATTTATCACAACGTTTCGGCCTTTCAGTATCTGTCTATATTTCTGAGATGAGGTATTATGTACACTATTTACATTATTCGGACTATTGTCCTCA